TTCCTTATACTGCTTATTGATTCTTTTCCATTTTTCAGAGTGTAGAAAACATTCACATGACAAATATTTCCTTCCATTATTTTCCACATTTTCATATTATTATTAATTTTCTTCCCAATATTATTATTAATTGTTTGGGCGTACGGCTTCCTTCCATTCTTTTTCATTTTTTCATATTATTATTAATTGTTTAGGCGAGAACTTGTAAAGGAGGATTTGTTTTTATTAATTAATATAGAATATAAATATAGATTAATATAGAATATAGATTACCAATTAAAATTAGTTTTTTTTAATATTATATTTGAACAATAATATTACCAATTATTAATATTACCAATTATTATTATTATTATCATTATTATTATTATTATTATTATTATTATTATTATTTTTACGGAGTAATTATGGAGATCCCATAATTACGCCAAAAAAGAAATACACTTTTGACCTATACAATAAGGAATTGAGCATGGACTTTATAACTGTCAAAACCGACACCATGAGAATAAAACAACTTAACAAATCAGAACTTCAGAAGTTCGATTACTTCAATAATCAACGCAAAGAACTAAGAAGAATATAATAATAGTCAATTGGTGTATTAAAGGCGATTCCTGGTATATCTTGTCGTGTATATTACAACAGAAACACTTAACCACTCCCCATTCTCCAATCACTCGTGAGTCACACATTTTATTGTGTGGCACTTTAAATTCTTGACCAATGACAGTATAGCAAAAAAATGAAGAGAGAGATTAGAGGAGTCAGCACTCAGCATCCCTTTAAACGGGCAAGAGTAGGCACCACTCAAAGCGAGATTCACATGAGACTGCCTTTAATCAATGATAATGAAACTTCAATAGAAGCAAAAAATCAATATATGAAATGGACTTGGAGTAACCGTAGAAATATTCAGAATAAATCATAATCTTGGCATATGATATGAATAGCTTTTCGCAGAAAAAAGTATTAAATTTGGACAACACAACCATGAAAAACGTATTGTATCTAATCCAATCAAACTACTTGGATGCTAAACCTACCGTTAATTTCGAAACGCGGCTAAACTAAATGATCAAGGCTGAAGACCTAGTGGGAAAAAAAAAAGATGCAATATAAAATGAAGACTTATAATTTTTGTAGTCATCAACTCATTGTATTTATAGGTGAAAAATATGAGAATTATAAATTTGTAAAATTTTTCAAAAAGAAAATGTTTTTATTTATTTAAGGTATTGCCCTAATCAATTCATTATATTGATATTCATAATCAATTCATTATATTAATATTCCTAATTAATCTTATTCTTAATTAATTCATAATGTTAATATTACTAAATTTTCATTTTTCATTTGCTTACCAAATAAGCTTTATTAAGTATTTGACCAATAAAATATAAAATATTTAATTAATTTGACTACAAATGTTTGGACGGGAAAATGAAATAGGAGGATTTTACTTTTATATATATATATAGATATAGATATAGATATAGATGTCTAGCTTTATTATAATAGAGGATAATAGGATATATAATGAATGTATGTATGCAAAATATACAAATAAATACAAGTCCAATTCTAAATATACATATATTATGCACAAATATCTCCATAACAAATTAAAAGAGATACAAGATTCACCCTTATTACAACGTAAAATCAATCTACTCCTAAGATACCAAGAATCTCTCATCCAGAGACTACATTTTGAAGAAAAATCGTATATTATTGAGGATGGGAAAGTGAGCAACTAAGGTTTGAGAAATGAGGAAAGAAGAGTATTTATAGGTAAGAAACAGGAGGGACATCTAATCAAGTTTAGAGGGTCGAAATGAGAAAGCTTATATGTTAAAGAAAAATACTATGTGTACTCCATTTTCTACTTTTAACTTTTACTCTCATACACAAAATCTTGATATAGATATTTGTATTGGGAGTTAGGACCCACATGAAAAAATAACTTATCAGTATCCGTCATATTAAGGAATAAAATTTAGAGAGTAAAATTTGAGAGTGCATGTATTAGAGCTCATGTGCTAAACATCACTTGACAATGAATTTATTACCTAGGTGGGCAATGCGCAATGTGTAACGCATCAGTGTGACTATATTCTGACTTTGTTTGATTATTGGCTAAGCTAGAATTATTATTTTGTTAGAGATGACATGTAAATGCTTCTTAGTGCATTAAAATCATTCAAATAAATTGTTACAAGCCAAGCACCTTGTGCTCAGATGGCATGTAGTGACCTCTCTCATGTGGGAGGTTATGAGATCGAGCCTCAGTGGAGGCGTTATTGATTTTATCAAAAAAGACGACAGAATCTTGGCGACTCGCGAATCTTGTGTATTTTGTAGATTTCACACAGAGTGTGTAAGTAACACATGTGATAATTACTATGGCAGCCTTGCCAATTAAACGCATTGTCTTGTTCAAATGTGAATGGTATGACCCAACCCAACATTAGACCAACACCTAATGTTGGAGTTTAAACATGTGATAACTACTACGGCAGCCTTGCCAATTAAACGCATTGTCTTGTTCAAATGTGAATGGTATGACCCAACCCAACATTAGACCAACACCTAATGTTGGAGTTTACACATGTGATAACAAACACGTGGACCGGTAAACCGTTGTCGCTTATGACCTTTGGTCTGGCTCTGATATCAAATTGAAGCATGTGCTCCATCTCAACTAAAAGTCTAAGCTGATAGTTGGATTGCACATTAATGGCTATATGCTCACAATAACTACTATGGCAACCTTGCCAATTAAACGCATTGTCTTATTCAAATGTGAATGGTATGACCCAACCCAACATTAGACCAACACCACATTAGACCAACACCTAATGTTGGAGTTTCATAACTGATATAATTTGGTTGAAATAAATCAACGGAGAAGGTTTAACAAATTTGAGCCATTATATTTATTTTAGCAATGCAAGCTATTCAAGTTTGTTTTGTTCTGTACCCTAGTATGAGACGAGGTAAAGTTAATTGGTTAGTTGTGTGTAAAGTTCAACCTCGGGGATGGATAGAATCTTTCAAAAAGGAAAATGGTCAAACGAAAGATACTGCTTTTCAAGAAAAAGAAGTTGAAGAAACTGAAATTCCAAGTACTGTGGATGATGATTCTTTCGTTAGGTTAAGTGATGAAAATGTAGAATATCTCGACATTCCTGACGACAATTCAGATAACAATGAAGAGGAAAATGATGAGCTTAAATTTGACTCTAGTTCGTCAACTAATGAAGATGAAGATAATGATTGTTATGATGATGATGATGATGATGATGACGACGACGATGATTATGAAAATTAGAGTTAATGTAGGTAATTCAAAAGTAATGCTTAATAAATATATATTATATGAAACACTAATATATATTACACTTTTCATATTTTTGTAGGAAAGATGCCAAGAGGACGTGGAGGACGTGGAAGTCGTTTTGCAGCTAGACTTTTGTCAATAAATGTTCTACCACGTAATGGAAATCACACATCGACATCGACATCGGCATCGGCATCGGCATTGATTCCCATAGTAGCATCAAGACCCTTATCACCATCCACGCCATCTATGGCTACTAATAATGGTCAGGTTGGACAAGATACTGTTAGGCAACAAGGTGATATGGTTGACTCTGTACGAGTGCATGGACGCCTACGAATTGATGTTCAGGATAATATGTAAGTTAAATTAAAATGAAATTTATTATTTGAATATATATTAATTTTTTAAATTTTGACTTTTCCTTTTTATAAGTTGACTAGCTCAGATGTATGTGCTAGAAAAATTACTAAGTTATTCAAAGAAATAATAGATCCCAATGGTTATGCATGGGGACAACTTAGTGTTGAGACAGTTGAATTTTATTGGGAAGAATTCAAGGTAATATTTAATCTCATGCATTGTATTTTAATTCTAAAGTGAATTATTGTTATTTTGTTTACATGTCTAACGTAAGTTCATATTTACATTGTGTTTTGTAGAAATTTTTTGAGTGAGATGCTACTAAAACTGCTGTAGTGTATAATGCTTGGGAGATAAAGGCTAAAAGAAGATATGCTTATTACATAAGCAGAATAAGGAAAAAGCCAAGACCTCCCTATGTCCCACCAGAAATATGGACAAAATGGAATGATGTTTGGAATTCTGAGGAGGGCAAGAAGAAAACAGAATTGGCTAAGAGAAATAGGCGTGGAGAAGTTTTAACTGGAGTTACTCAATCTACCCATACCACAGGATCAACACCTCACGTAAAAGTTGCAGCTCAACTTGTAAGTTTATTTGAATTGTTTAAGTTATAAGTATTATGTGTTTTGTATTATGTGGAAAGAAGATATGGACAAAACACAAGGTTGCCACAAAGTTGATACCACTCTGGAAATGAGACCTTGGAATTTGACATGAGTTGATCTAATTTGATTTATGTTGGCTTTGGAAGCCTGAGATTTATTTGAACTTGAATGATTTGATAATGAGGATTGATTGAACTCAGGAGTAGAAACTGCAGAGTTAATTTGGGAAGCACTAGCCTAAATCTTTTAATGAGGATTCTAGGTAGAATGAATAACTAGAGTTTACTTGACCCCAACTTTTATGTTTTTTGTTGATTGTGATTGTGTTTTATTTTGTTTATTGATTGATGTTGTGAATTGTATTATATATTGAACATGGAGATAATCTTATATACAAAGGAAACTTTGCCGAATTTTTTCTTACTTTAATAATTGCTTTTGTTTGTTAAATATAATTTGTAGGAAGGACAATTGGGTCATTGTCCATCGTATTATGAACTGTTCAGGCATACACATACCAAACAACACGATGGGCAAACATTCATAGCTGAAAAAGCCAAACAAATTCATGTAAGTTTAATTTGTTTTAAGTTCTTAAAATATATATGCCTTTACATATATTTTGTACTAAATCTCTAACATATTTTAGGAACAAGTTGAATCGCAACGGGAGATGTTGGCAGAAATGGGGAGCAGGTGGATTACAATCAATTATACTATGACGCGGTTGGTGGACACGATAAGAAAAGAAGAGTTTATGGACTTGGTTCATATGGTTGTTCTGTTGTCCATGGTCCATGTTGGTCCCGATAGGGTGGTAGAAAGTCTAGAGGGGGGGTGAATAGACTTTCTAAACTTTTTCACAATTAATAACACTTTAATTATTTCAACTCCAAGTTACAAATAAATAACAAGATATTCAACTTGGGTGCACAGCGGAATAATTCAACAGTAAAGTGTTACGTCAAAATTGAGAGATATATCACATGCAATACGATGGATATGCTTGAAATAGCTTAAATAATATGTATGCAAAAATTAACTCGCATGCGAACGTGGTAGATAGTAAACCCAGATGAAATTAGGCAATGCTTATACGAAAAGGATTAGTGCAACAAACCATGCAACATTAAATGTTATTAACTTATTATGCATGTATGTTCACGTGTGGAATGTGAAATGCAAATAGTGAATAGTATAAATTATATTGAATATGAAAAACAATGATATGAATTAATTTGCATGCATTCGTATGAAGTACTGAACCAGATAATGAATATCGAATATAAAATGGGTTAGTCCACGGTGTGTAAAGCAATAATATATGAAGGCAGTAAGTAAATGAGAGAGGCAATTTAGAGTGGTTCGGAGGTGGCGTAATCCCCCTACTCCACTTTTCTCCTTTCACGTCTAGGAGAAAATTCACTATTTTCCACACACAGTTACAATAGTGAATAAGTGCTACACAGGCACTTCTTTGAGTGTTTTGCACACAGCTACACCCAACCCCGAGTGTCTCGCACACAGCTACACTCCTCCACGAGTACTTCGCACACAGCTATACTCCTACGCCAACTAAGTGTCTTGCACACAGCTACACTTAGCAACCACGAGTGTATTGCACACAGCTACACTCACGAGTGTCTCGCACACAGCTACACTCAACAGGTTAGTGTTTTGCACACAGCTACACTTAACCCTCTTTCTACACACAGTAGAGAAAAGATTTAGAGAAAACAAATTTCTCTTCTAAGGACTTGAAGATTTCTACGCAGATAGCTCAAGAATGATGAACTGAATATTTCAAATATTGCTCTCTGTATTGTGTATTGCCTCTGCTTCAAGTCTTCAATCCTTGCCCGTATTTATAGCCAACAAAGACCATATAGCCGTTGTAGCTTCTTCAATCCTAGCCGTCCATTTGATTTGTGATGCTCCAATTTGCAACTTGCTCTGAAGTAATTAAATGTAGCAGCTTTCGGTGGAGAATAGCTTTGTCAGATTTATTTGAAAAATTTCATCTGTGTAATCTTCAAAAGTCATATATTGCGGCTGATCTTCTGCAATAAATCTTCTTTGGTTTGGATAAAATATCTTTCTGATAAAAGTAAATCTTCATATTGAGATCTTCAAATCTGACCGTGCTCTTGCTCTTGCTTGAGGAAGAGAAAATCTTCCTCTCTACTTCTTGTTCGATCTGCTCTTGCATGGAGAAGAGAAAATCTTCTTCTCTGCTTCTTGTTCGAAAGTGGGAATAGCCTGATAGAGAAGATAAGCATATGGCTATTTTAAAATGCTTCTCTACATTAAATGTTGTTCTGACTAGTATTTATTGTACACCTTCCTACTCTCCTTTCGATGTTGTAGCTACGTGATGTGTAGACAGCATGCATTTACCAACTGTCAACATACCAAAATAAATGCTATAAGCAGGATTCGAACCATGCCCATCCCCAATGCTCCTCATGTTTCTTGACAATACTCCATAACAACTTATTTGTCATAAGTGTGTTGATAATATATTTGTACGCCTTCTGCCTGAGTTAAGTATGTAACGTTTCTGTTCTCCTTAGATTTGCTTGTCAAACCTCCAATCCTGAGCAAAATAGATGTCACAGGGATTCGAACACGCATTCCCTCTGAAACACAACAATGGCTTCTCCATTGACCCACTACAACCTCTTGGTACAAATGCTGCAAATAAATCCTAAGTACCAACATTCTGAGAGGTTCTATTTGCCTTTAAATTTCGTAGGATATTTGGTTCAAGTCTATTTTGAAGTTTGTACACTAGACTCAAAATAAAATATGGGGAATTCTAAAAATACAATTTTGGCTCATCAAAACTATATTACAATTATTCCTAACAGTCCAACTAATAATAACACTTCTGGCAATATGACACCAACATCGCGACCACCCGACAATGCTACTTCTACTTCTGCAAATGTACAACATGAATTGAAATTCAGAGTTTGAAGGAAACTATTCTCCTTATGCAACAACAACTTGATGCTATTGATGGCGGGAGAGCGGGTACTTCATCATCACCTCCATCTCAAATCAATTGATTTTAATGGTTATTTGTTAATGTTGTTTAGACTTGAATTGACTATTATTATGTAGTAAGTGTGGATTGATAATGTATTATTATGTTGTTTAGAGTTGAATTGACGCTTATATTATGTATGAAATGTGGATTGGTAATGTATTAGTATTTTAACTTAATTTAGAATTATGTTATCTTTTATTTTAAAAACATTCATTACTATTTAAAATCACAATTTTATTTTAAAATAATTCAAAAACGCGACGGAATATAAGATTTGCAACGGAATATTTGTTACCAATAATGCGACGGAATTACGACGAAAAACATTTCCGTTGCGAAATGGGCGACGGAATTGGCGACCGAAAAGATAATATGGCGACGAAATATTCGGTTCAGAAATAACGACGAATTTGCGACAGAAACAGTTCCGTTGCGAAATTGGCGACGGAATCGTGACGGAATAATTCTGTCGCCAAATGGCGACGGAAATAGTCCGTCGCGAATTCCGTCGTCAAACGTTGCGACGGAATTATTCCGTCGTCTACCAAAATACGACAAGGTGATAGACAACGGAATAAATTCCGTCGCCTTTCTGTCGCGAAACGCGATTCGCGACGGAATATTGCCCATTCGCGACAGAAAAATTTCGTCGCGATTCACAATTTTTCTTGTAGTGGTGCTTCATTAGGTGTAATAAAGTCAGTAGCATTCAAAAAAATAAATAAATAAAAATAAATTGTCTTTTTTTGTATCTTATGCTATAAATGTTATACTACATAATTTTATTTTCTCTTACATTCTTTTTTTATTATTATTACAAAAGAAGGGGAGGCTCAAAACCTAAACCTCCCACATAAGGGAGCAACTGGATACCAACAGACCACAAGCCACTTGATTTTTCTTACATTCTTAAATGGTAAGTTTGATTTTATTTATATTTTAATTAAATGTGACCATAGTTATATTTAGTAATATATCATTTTTATAATTCTTACTTCATTAATAAAATAAATAAATAAATACACACACACACACACAATTATTTTATAAAAATAATGATATATAACTAAGATTTTAACATTAAGTATTAATATTGGACATATATTTTTGCGCATTGCGCATATGAAATACTAGTTTAAACTATAAGTCCATGTTAAAATGTGTATTTATGTGCTATCAATCGTAGAGGATTTTATTGAAGAAAAAAATATTGTAAGACATTTTTATAGAGGTAGAACATTTTAGATCACATTGAGTTCTTTTAAAATATTTTGTAAAGTTAAATCTCATATATTGTATGATAAAATCTAACACATTCATCTGTGAGGTTGAGACAATATATAGGAGTGAATGATGCCAAAAAATGTTAAATAAAATTTAAGGCAGGTTCATAATTTTATGTATAATTTGATAGTAACTTTATGTTAACTTTATGTATAGGGGTGTAGAAATTTTAACACTACCACATAGTAGTGTTAATAACAAATTTTAACAAATAATTAAGTAATCTTAATGACAAATAAAAATGTTTCTAAAAAAATTTCATGATTATATAAAACTGGTTTAAGGGTAACCATTCGAATCAAACCCAAAAGTCTCTGGTTCAGTATACCATGCCAACACCGCATTATCTATTAGGCCATTAAGTCATCCGTGTAATTATATTATAAAAAATCAACTAAAGTATTGTCTGGGTGAGACTTCAATCAACAATGGTCTAACCAGAAGTCAACGCCTTATCCATAGGCCACAAGCTCACAAAGTTAAACCTAATTAAACAACTTCAACTATTTGACATAATAGGAGCAGCAAAAAAATATATAGATTTACAAGAATGAGACAAAATTGGGTAAATTCCAAATTCTAGATAATTTTATGTAAAGTACTAGTATCATTACCTTCTTTTAATGTGTAAATGTTAAAAAGAATGTAAAGGTATTGCCTCCCCCGCCCCAAATTTTAAAAGTTGAGAAGAAGGTAATGGTATTGTCTTCTTTTTAATTCTAATTTTTTAAAAGTTAGAAAAATACAATAATAGACAATTTTTCTTTCTTGGAATATGTTTTTAAAATTTTTTTATTTTTATTAAATATTAATTAATAACATAAACAAAGATTTTTAATTTTAAATAGTCATTAGTAGTGACGTGGATTACATGATAATAATAACGTATTTTTAAATATTTTTATTTTGTATTAAGTATTTATTTATTTATTTCGTTATTCATATTGCGTTAAATTTGATAATTATAAATGTGTAATTAGTGTAACTATATTGTAAATTTTCACAAACCCTCTCGTTAGAGTATTACATAATGAGTTATGCAGGAGAAATCTATTGTCGGATAACGAAGTTTAGTTGACCACAATGCTCACATGTCTGCCACCCTCAGGTGCGCGCCAGAAAGCTCATTGAAGTCAACAACGTAGAAGTCGATTTCCTAATGAAATGGACTTTGATCGTCGTCGTTGTCGATGGCGATATGTCCTATATGTAATCCATTGCTCCTTTGGTAATATGAATGTCATGAATATTTACAATATAGTTACACTAATTACATATTTATAATTATCAAATTCACCGTAGTACAAATAATAAAATAAATAAATATATACTTAATAAAAATATCTAAAA